TACAGGGTGAGACAAAATTAATATCGAACATTGGTCACCGTTAAAAGCATGTTACTTTTTTATTTTAAATGGAACAGTATATTATTCCGATATTCAATGGAGAATTCATTAAGATTGCCTACCCCTCAAACAAAGATTTTCCTAGATATTTTCATTTACATGATTTGATCTGAGTAGATCTTTATTATTTGATAAAATCTTGATGGCTGTGATAACTTCAACATAACTGTCTAATTCGTCCAACTTTAACAACTAGTTATCATTATGTGTCAGTTAAAACAAAAAAAAAATTCTCAGAAATTTGCCGAAAATGCAAATTTATCCTACATCAGAGAGAATTGATACCATTCTATTAGTTGCACACTGCATTCACCACTTATTAGAATACTTAAATGCTCCTGATTTTATCTAGTCTGGGTTTTTTATGGGGATATGTTAAAGACAGTGTTTACAAAACTCGACCAGCTATTGTCGACAACATGAGAGAAATTATTGTAGCTGCTTTTCGAGGTAGAACTCAAGCCTTTTAAAATGAAAAGACCCTTTTGAATAGACAATCATTTTATGCCGTTAACAGGAAAGGAAGCATTTTGGGCATTTGATTTCATCTAGCTAATTTTTGTCACATAATTATAGGTTTATATCTAGTTTTAATACTGTAACAATTAAAATATGTTTTAAACGTGTATCTTTTTATTACCACTGAGTATTTTACTCTACAATCTTTAATTTTTATTAAATTAAAAAAAAGGTCATCATACAGCCACCTAGATTTTTTCAATAATAAAGATCTACTGACGCAAAATCATAAAAATTAAAATATCTAGGAAAATCTTTGTCTGAGGGGTAGGCAACCTTAATAATATTTTGGAGATATATAAATTCCCCATTGAACATCGGAAAAACATACTGGGTGTTCCGTTTAAAATAAAGGAGTAACTTGCTTTTAAAAGTGACTAATGTTCCATATTAATTTTATTTCACCCTGTATAACTTCGGGTCAAATTTCAATTTGGTTTAACATACAATGGTTCAAAATTTAGGCAGCCTGTTATCGATATTTAAAATTTACTCTTCATTTTCACAAAATGTGAAATATATCAAAATCTTTAGATTTTAGGTATATGCTTCTTTAATAAAACTCACCTTTGTTTTTTCCTAGAATCTGAAAATCAATTATTATATAGGGTGTTCCATTAGAAAAAACACAACTTTAATGTGTAACTTTTTTTGGAGACACCCTATATAATTCTATATATTTTTATAAAATGCTTTCAGTTAACCTACATATGCTGCCAAAATTTCATTTCGATATAAACTACCGTTCTCCTTGGAGCTTCCGCGACGTATGAGAGGCGCCACCCTGTACGTAGTAGTTCTATGTCCACGGCATATTGGGACACCATGTATAATATAAATAAGAATAGAGTATTCAATTGTTTTTGGTCACTTCCTGTTTCACCGGTAAATCGGTGTACAACAGCAAAATAAAACACTAATCACTACAATACACTACACACTTTTCACATCGAAGCTCTATCAAAGAAACTAAGCACTGCCTGTTTTGCGCTTAGATCAGTTTCTAAGGAACTTAACTTCTCAACCTCTAGAATAGCCTATTATGCCCTTTTTGAGTCACATCTTGGTTATGCCCTTCCATTCTGGGGTACTTGCTGCGCAACAAAATTTGATCGTGTTTTCAGACTTCAAAAGAGAGTAGTTCGATAGTTATTGGGACTGAACAGTAGAACTCACTACCAGAATTTCTTTAAAAATTTGAAAATACTGACTCTTCCTTCTTTATTCATTTTTGAATCCGTTTGCTTAATCCGCAAGCACATATCTGCTATTCCCGAAAGGCCATCTCATAACTATCCACTTAGGAATGCAGAGCACGATCTTTATCTGCCAACCCCGAGCTCAGAACTAGTTAAAGGTTCAATACTGTACAATGCCAAAAAAAGGTACAATCATCTGCCTTTGAATATCAAGTCGCTTTCATTCTTTCCCACATTTCGCAAAGCTCTAAAATCATACCTACTGGAGAGAGCCCTATATGCGGTAAACGACTTTTTTGTTGATGTTTAATTATGAACAATTTTGAATTTTATAATTTTGATCATCTCACACACTGGTCAAAGGTCAAGTATTTAATATTTTATAACTCTAAAATTATATCTATTTACTGCGTACTGTTCTAAAATTGTCCATGTATATTCTTTTTGTAATTTTTTTGAATTGTATTATTTGTATTGTGTATTTTTTGTTGTTTGTATTTTTTTGTGATTTTGTTGTTTGTGAGTGCTTTGTCGATGAAGCTCTTTTGGCTTTGTGTACAATAAAGCGTTGTTTGTTGCTGTTGTACACCAAAACAGTTTAATAATTAGTTTTAACCAACATCGTATGCTGATGGTGTGATGGTTATAGCGAAACGCGCGTCAAGTGCAGAAGTAAAATGCTTTGGTGTATGGTGGTGAATTAGTGTTTTTAGTACGATGAGCTCCTGTGCTTCCTTTTTTTATTATTGCTGGTTGTAAATAAAATATCATAGAAACGTCTAAAATATATTTGCAAAAATTTCCTGTCAGCTGATGCAGCAGCCGTTAATAGATGTCACGGCCCGAAAGATCGGAACGAAAACGAATGTAAACGAAACAAAGACTAAATTATAATCAGTGCAGGTAGTCGGGTAAAAAGGGGTTTTCTACACCCCAAAAGGTACAAAAAATATAAGTGGACCGGTGAGAAAATACTTGGTCCGTCTGTCCGGCCATTATGGACGGTCATCGGGGTGAGTAATGAAATGCACTCCCACGGGGAAATTACCATGAGGTAGCGGTGGGGGCCATACACCCCTCTTTAATTTGGTCCGCTGGTCAGGTGGATATGGAGGATGTCTGTGCAGCCGAATTGGTCGACCGTGATTTGATTGTCGGTCGTTTTCTTTTTATAAAACTAACCAACAAAAAATGCTTCTTTTACAATAATAACACTATATGAATAGATTTAAGGGAAGGAAAAAAATCACAACTTTTTGTAAACGCAACCAGTGGTAGTGCAATTTTCAAGTGGAGAAAGATACGTCAAAATATATTTCAATGTATTAGAATATCTTCTTCAAAAGCGTATATCTCCAATAAAAATAAAACTATTGTCGTGAAAAATGCACCTTAATGTTATAGCATTTTTTTAAATGCCTTACATTATTAAACTATTGCACAGGGTGTTTCAAACATTTAGTAAACCCAAACTAAAGACATTTTGTTTTCTCCACATTGACTGTATTATTTCTCTTTAATTTTTATCAATTGCCTTAGTGGAGTGCTTTAAGCCCTTATGAGACACAAACCTCGGAATTCATTTACTGTATACGAATTTTTATAAAACTTTTTGCATTGTATTGTTAATAAGATATATTTCAAAGTTTATCCATTTAAATTCGTTGCTTTCACTTTACTATTTAAATAAACACACATATACAAATGCATACATACAAGATGGCTCCACATTCCGGAAAAGCTCTGTATCAGGATTCCTATTTGAGATTTTCACTTCAAACTTTCTACAAAATATGTGTTTAATGGTAGTTCACATTTCAAAAATATTTTTATAGATATACAGGGTGAGTCAAATTCCGGTTTCAAAAATATCTGAATACCATAGAGTATATTAAGTCGTTTTTGAATTATGACCAAATCCATGAGGACGTCAATCTAGACATCCAGGAACCTTCGTATGATAACTTCTAATCGAGACGATCGACTTATTGTAAGTTTATCGCAAAGAACCCGCCGTTTGCCAGCTTTTCAAATTGATAATGAATTGCACTTAAGGAACGTACATATTAACTAACGGACTATAAGAAGAAGATTAAATGAAGCAAATCTTATGTCAAGAAAGCCTGCTTCGGGACCAGAACTTACTAGATGTGTTGACTAGGCCCAAAAGCAAAGGCATGGTCTTAATGTAAAAATTATGAAAAAATGATATAGTCTTCTTCAAAAATGAATATTTCCAACAAAAATAAATCTATAGAAATGAACCAAAACACAAACCGAGAAAGGATGTATCTAGACGACAAAATTATTTTTAAATTTCTTGCTCTTTTAACATATTTCACAGAGTGTTTCAAACTTTCATCAAAAATATCAACATTTTGTTTTCCCTCGTATATTTAACAGATGGGGAGTTTCATTTTTAATTTAGAAAAAGATACTAAAAAATCAAATAATTTGGCAACACACTGCTTAAAAAATCATCAAAATCGGCCCATTAAAATAAAATATATTAACCTCTTTAAAATACATCAAAGTTTTAAGGTGTCCATTTTTCGTGCCGGTGAATGTATTTCAAAAACTATATACATTTTAGTCATATACTTTTGTAATGAAACAAACCTTTATTTTTTTACTAGAATCCAAAAATCAATTAATATATAGGGTGTTCCTTTACAAAAAACATAACTTTGATGTGTAACTTTTTTTGGGGACACCCTGTAGAACTCTACATAATTTTAGAAAATACTTTAAATTGACTTACATAAGCTCAGAAAATTTCACTTCAATACAAACTTTTGTTCTCCTTGTAAAAACGTATATAACTTCGTATATGACGCTCCACCCTGTATAATTCGATTTCAATCAAAATTTCAATGATTAGAATATAAGCAGAATAGGTATAGCTTATGTATTAGATTTATTTATTTCAATAAATTTACTTAGAAAAAGAATTAAATAAATCAAAATATTAAGAAGAAAATAATTAAGAATTTACTAAAATTACTAAAATAAAAAATTGAAAGCAACGAAAAAAAATGGGTAAACATTTTAGTATTTTATCTATAAAACACACACATATATTCACAGTAATTTAATTCTGAGGTAAAAGTCTCTGGGCACTCCACTCCTACTCAAATCCATTTTTCTTTTGCCTTTTTTTGTCTCAAATCCAAACTAGCGCATAACCTCTGTGATTAAATCGGATTAAAACGTTAAACTTACCATCTCCAGACACCTGTGCGTGCACTGTTTATTTCCGAAGGCGTTGTTCATGAATGGCGCGTCGATTTCCTGCGTCAGTACCGGGTCCCCCTTGGGCTGGTCCTTCGAGCCCCTTTTGAACTGGCTGCTCAAAAACACGCCGCAGGTACAGGGGGTATCTTCTGGTCTCGCAATTTCCGCTTCCTGTAACGTCTTTATTGAATAAATAAAGGGTTGCTGGCTGGCAGAAATAAAAAAGAAAAAAAAAAGGGCAAGCGATTCTTCGAGAATATAAAACAAACAAAAATAAAACGGAAAATTTATTTTTACAACTGATTATTAAATTCTTGAAGCAATTTAAATTAACAAACAAACCAGAAAATCGGACTTTTTTCTGATTAATTTGTTGCCAATAATTACAAATGTTTTTCGGCAACCGTATTCCGTAATAATACAAATTCCAGATAAAACATTGAACATGAACAGTAACGATCGGAAAACATGATATACAGGGTCCGGTAATAGTGCGTCGGGCATTTGTAGCTCCTATACAGGGTGGTCCGAACTGTATTCCGGAAACTTCGGCAACGTATTCTGCAGAAAAAAATAAGTAAAAAAGTTCCTATAAATAAATGTCCTAAAATGCTTAGTTTCGGAGATACAGGGTATAGTAAATTAAGTTTCATTATTATTTCGATTTTTTCCAAATAATTTCGTAAGTAACGTCAATGTTTGGATGAAAATTGGTGTCTGGAAGTTTTGTAACTTGACAAATTTCATTTTGATGTCAATATGACCCCTATTTGTAGGGGTGCCACCTACAACATAAGTTTTAACTGTTTTGAGGAATTTCTTTCGTACCTGTATACAGTACGTCTGCTGGATCTGTGTCTATGAAAGGAATGCGGACAAAAAACATTTAGATAAACAGCAATATATTTTATACGTCGACTTGACGCGTACGTCACCGCAAATAGCACCGCCCACTCATTTTATTGGCTACTTGCAAATTTGTCAAATTTTTATTGATGGGACGCGTCGTCTAATTTTTTACGAAAAACATCGAGAGAATATCGTTTCCCCTATCACGGATACCCCGTAGCTACAGAACGGACAGACTAAGTAACATTACTAAGTGAAAAAATATACATCTCTGTGACTTTTTCCATAAAGAATGTATCTTTGTAAAAATCGCTACAAGCAACCGTTCTCAAGATATATAGAATGGAAATAGTCATTACATGCCATTATTGACAAAAATTAAATACGTTGAGAGTAGATAGTAGTTATTTGACTGAAATAATAAATTTGGGAAATTTTTATTTATTTAAATTAATCATAATTTTTTCTGGGAAATAAAACAGTCTCTGCTAAACTTTTGGCACAAAAACATTTCAAATATATGATTTCAGTCTAATAACTATTTAGTCAACATGTTTATGTCAATGATTCACAGATAATGATAATTTCGATTCCAAATATCTCAAGAACCATTGCTCGTAGCGATTTTTACCAAGAGACCTTTTTACGTAAAAAATGTCGAAAATGTATATTTTTTGACTCAGTAGTTTTATACAGGTACGGACGAAAAGTTATTACTCTTCAAACCAGTTAAAAAATATATAGGTGGTTCCCTCTACAAGTAGGAGTCATATAGACATCAAAATCAAATTTCTCATGCCAAAAAACTCCCAGACACCAATTTTCATCCAAATATTGACGTTACTTCATAAATTATTTGCAAAAAATCGAAATAAAAATAAAACTTCTACACCCTGTATCTCCGAAACTAAGCATTTTGTAACATATATTTTAACGAACTTTTTTACTTATTTTTATCTGCAGAATATGCTGGCAAAGTTTCCGGAATACAGGTCGGACCACCCTGTATAATAAAAAAACTTAGGAATTTTGTATAAGTGCAAACCTAAAAAAAGCCACCCTGTAGAAGTTAAAATATTTTCTTGTAATATATCCTAATACATACTTTAGGTTTGCGCTTTTACAAAATTCTTAAATTTTTTTTATTATTAAAGCTATAGATGCCCGACGCACTATTGCCGGACCCTGTACATTAGCTGTCATTGTCCTTTTAGATTCTTTCTTTGGACATACTATACTAAACCCAATAAAGATTATAAGCTAAAAAATATACTAACCTGAGATTTGCTCTGATCTTCTTGGTTTTCTTCGATATCATTAGTTATTATAGCTGAACTTCTCGCGAATACAGCAATAAGAACAAGACAATAAAAAAATGTGAACTAAAACAAAAAAATATATATATGTTAAACATAAATAAAAGCATAATAGTGTATAAGATATTTACCCTTTTCATAATTGCGGTTTGGTTGTAATTATACTAAGACTAATTTATTGTTGTATATGTTCATTGGAAATTTTTTTTACAAAGTAAAATGGCAAAACGTGCATTAATTACTCATAAATGGGGTCAGACAAAGTTTTATTGAAAAATGCTGAGGGCAGTATATTCGACGTTGTTTAGTAGTTATTATTTTTATATCGGCACCGTAATTTGCAGTTTATAAAGTAATTATATAAGGTGTTCTAATTCTAAGCGAACAAAAAAAAATATTTTCCCTGGGCTCTTCCAACTGTACTTGGAATTACAATTAGACACTGCCAAAATCATGGATTTTGGCACACCCGATCTAAGGGGGGGGGGCAAACCGGGGCACCTGCCTCGGGCGCCAGTGTCAGGGGGCGCTAAAATCATAATATAATATGGTTGAAAATCAAAAAAAAATTGCTCCACAAAGCGCAAAAATTTCTTCAATCAAGTAATCATTTAATTTTAAAACGTCCAGTTGGTTTTTGAACATTAGAATTTAGAATCTAGAATGAGTGGGAGGGGGGTTAATCACTTCGACCTTACAGATCCATTGTGTCCCCCTTTCTTGAATCATAACTCATCATACAGTCCCAGGGCTTTGACAAAAGCCAGTATCTGGGACGGTTTTATAGGGGGTAGTTCTCCATCTCCAATATCAGTCGTACCAAAATTCATGGCACGAATGGTTGTCGTCCCGGCGCACTCAGTGATGAGGTGTACTGGTGTTTCCCCATCTTCCCCACAGAATCTGGATTCGCCGTTTCTTCTTAGTTTCAATCTACTGAGGTGTTCATTGAGGAGACAGTGTCCTGTTAAAAACCCCGTGACAATCCGAAGATTGTTCTTACTCAGACCTAGGAAGATCTGTGATTTTTATTGATCATAAGCCCTCAGAAACTTCTTCGAGTGTCCTAGACCATTGCAAGATTTCCATTCCAGGTTGCGGATGGAATCTTCCAAGTTCTTGAGTTCCTCCTTGAGTTGGTTACCACTTGGAAAGCAGAACGGTTCTGGTCCAGTTAGTGGAGTGTTCGCTCCTTTTCTACCTAGATTATTTGCTTTTTCATTGCCTTTTATCCCTTGGTGAGCAGGCACCCAGTGTAGGAGGACTTTGTTTTCTTTGCCTAATTTATTCAGCTTCTCTATGTATTCTTTGACCAATTTCGAATTGATTGAGACTGAGTTGATCGCCTTTAACGCTGCTTGACTATCAGATAAGATGGCTATTTCTTGTTTCCGATAGTTCCTATCTAAGATAAGTTGTACGCATCTCTCGATAGCGTAGATTTCTGCCTGTAGGATACTAGGGTAAGTGCCCATTGGTTCGGAGTAATTAGCTCTCGGCCCAACACTCGATCCCTGTTCCCGTATTGGTTTTGGAAGCATCAGTATACCAAGTTATGGTATGGTCTTTTTAACTGCTGGGCAAGCGTTTCGCTCTTCCAATCCTTCTTATTGCTCAATACTACATTGACATGTTTGTCAAAATTGTACGTTCTTGGCATATCGTCCACTGGGAGTTGCAGGAGTGGTATTTCTTTTTTGAGGGTGTTCCAAGCCCCTGATCTGACAATTCTCCCAGTACTAATTCCGTTAGTGACCATTCTAATCATTGTCGCATTGGCATATCTACCAATGACAATGTGCAGTGGTGTTAGATCTAGAATGACCTCCATTGCTGCTGTTGGACAGGTTCTCATGGCTCCTGTGATGCAAACACATGCTAGTCTCTGGACTTTGCATAGGTTTAGCCTTGCCGTCCGTTGCTCTAGTTTTGTGTACCAGGCAACTGCTCCATAAGTAATCATGGGTCTTACTATCATGGTATACATCCAGCGCAAAATGTTAGGGGAGCAGCCCCATATTTTTGAACATACCCTAAAGGCTTATTCTGTCCCGTTTACGAAAAATGCCTACCTATATATCATATTAATTAAACTTTTAGTTACGTCATCGAGAGTCCGATTTTTAAATTCATTGTTGCCAACCATGGTCATATTCGGCGCGGGAAACTGGAATTTAAATTTCGCGCTGGGGATTCAGGTGGTAGCTCTGCTGTAAAAAATGTCAAATTGCTGCATTTATTTATTTATTTCCTGACATTGTCATTCGTTTTGACACTTTCGTTTTGTATTACGAATTTTTGGTTTAAATAAATAGTGTTGTGATACTAACACAAGAACTGTCCTGAAATCAAAACTAAATTAGGTATTTACTTTAGATGGTCTGTACTTACTTTGCTATAAATATGGTAATTGTAAATCATACAGGATGTTCAAAATTCTACACCAAACTTTCTAAAATATGAAATCATTTTTCTTCGTTTTTTTTTTTAAGGAATACCCTGTATATTATTTTTTCAATAGACATGAACATTTTTTGTATTTGGAGTATTTCAAATTTTTTTAACGGTTTCCCAGATATTCGCGATTTTATATTTCATATAGCATTTTCCACAGTAAATTTTTATCAAAGCCACCCAATAATTTTTTCCCGTATTTTACAGTTGAAAGAACCATATGAAATAATACTGCGTATGTCTTCGGAACCATTAAAAATTTTGAAATACTTTAAATGCAAAAAATATTCATTTTTTAACTCTCCATTTAAAAAAAAACAAAGACAAATTATTTTATATTTTTGGAAGTTAGCCGTAAAATTTTGAACATACTGTATGATTTACGATTACCACATTTATAGCAAAGCCCCAAGTACAGACCATCTAAAGTAAATACCTAATATATTAGTTTTGATTGTAGGATAGGTTCTTTTATTTTTAATATTTTTTTAAGAAAAGCTGAAAAATATATATTTTTTATTTATTTATTAATATTTCTGAAACTATCGAAATATATTTATTTATATCTTAGGATATGCAAAGTGGTCTGAAAGGAAGCCAAAAATGCAATTTTATACAGGGTTTTCGATTTAAAAAAATATCATCCCGATCCACTCGCACTTTTTTGAGGCACCCTATAGAAGTTAAAATATTTTCCTGAAATAAATCCTCGTAGATACTTTAGGTCTGCACTTAAACAAAATTCTCAATTTTTTTAGTCTAGGAACTACAGGGAAGATAATGCCCGACTCAGTATTACCGGACCCTGTATAACTATAATTATAAAAACATAATATAACTAAACCATATCGACAGGTGAATTGCCATCACTTATCGATAAGTACAATCTATTATCGCCCATTCCTAATGTAAACTGAATGAAGTAAGAAAAAATGAAAAGAAAATCATATTCCCTTATATTTATATTGTGTCAAGGAAACGCAAGAATGGAAAGAAAATGTGAAAAATACGTCGAAATTTTTATAAGGTACCTACCATGAATATGGCAGTACTGGAGGCAAAATTTTAGTGGGAAGGAAATCTCGTATTTACGTTGCAACCGCTCCCATGCAGATCCTGCGTCGGCCTGCCACTGTGTGCACACCCAGACCGACCCCCTGACCCAGGTTTGCTCGTTTTCGTTCTAAACTTAGCAACAACAACGTACAGTGAAAATCGTGATCGCTGCTAGCCGACAATCTTCTCAAGAAACAAACACAGATTTAAATGTAAAATCTCTGACGAGGGGTAGGGGACTCAAAAAACTCACAATCTATTAGGATGTTTATTTCAAAATTTAATTTGATTTAAAATTGGGGCGACATATTGGTATGAACCTATAGCACATATTAAGTACATATAATATCAGAAAAATAATTATCGAATTCAATAAGAAAACTAAGAAAACGCTAAAAAGGTGGAGCGGACTGTTTATTTACCTATGAAAACGTAACTCCTGGTTCTTTCTTATCGCTGCGGCTTTTACACTTGAAAGGGGCTGAACAACTAATCGCCATTGTAATAAAGTTTGTACAAAGTTCACTATATACAAACTATTAAAAATCGCTAAAATTGTCGCTGATAACTCATTCGTCGCCATCAAAAAAATGTCACAAATTCTTCTGCAGCCCGTATATGTCCTTATATTCTTTAGTCATTGGAGATAACAATAATATTTGTTGGGAACAATAAAAATCAATATTTCGTTAAAAATTTTACCTAAAAATAATGTATTAAAAGTATTGTTCACTTAAAATCAAAAATGAAGTTAGCAGGTTATCTTTCATTGACGATATACCGGGTGATGCATCGTCGTTGGAAACATAGGAAATCCCATGCAAATTTTAAACTGTTCAAATATTGGCTTCCTAATGATTTTACAGCGAAGTCGTAAATAGATTTTTTAAAGGTTTATGCATGGTAAATACACATGCCAAATTTGAATAATTTTGGGCCAACCGATTTTGAGTAAGTTAAGAAAGATTGCATCTATTTTTATATTAGAACCAAACAGGTAACAATCAAACACCAGTCAAAAACTGACATACCTTAGGTTTACAAACTAATATTAAAAAAACTGTAATATGATTTTGTCATTGTCAAAAATAATTTAATATTAATATTCAGGACAAATTATAGTCTTTTATCTATGGGACAAATTAACCGAAACAGAATAGAATAGAATAGAATAATTTATTAATGTCATTACCATACAAATAGTGGCTTACATAAGTCAAAGTATAAAATAAAATACATATATAAAACACAATTAACCTTAAAAATTAACACAAAATACATAAAGTTAAGACCATCATATTAGATGTGTGGGTACACAATGACAATTACTCTAGTTAATACACTGTAATATAAACATAGGGTGGGAGTTTCCAGTTTCCACATTCTGTTGTAGAAGGAATTTCCATCAAGTGAGATTAATATGTATATCACTTGAAAGAAACTCCCTCGAGTCATACAGTGGATTTTCAAGCAACCAGTCACGAACCCTGCCCTTAAACACCTTATCGGACAATAGTTTATACCCATCCGGGAGTTTATTGTAAAACTTCACACCCCAGTATCTAGGCCCATCTCGAGACCTTTCTAACCTATGTATAGGGATACTGAAGTGCTCCGCCCTACGAGTGTCATGAGAGCCGTGCTGAGCATTTGTGGGATATTTTTCCGTATTGGCTTTAACATATAAAAGATTTTCCAATATATAAAGATTTGGGAGAGTAAGTATATTTAACATTTTAAAGGTTTCCCTGCAATCATCCCTGTAGCCCAATCCTCCGACAACTCTCACAGCCCTCCTCTGAAGCGCGAAAACCCTGGGCCACTGAGGTGCGTGACCCCAAGCCAAAACAGCGTAGGACATCACAGAATGAAAAAGAGCGTAGTAAGCCGTCCACAATACGCAACAGGAAACAGTACCTGACAAATTGCGCAGAAC